ATGCTGAGATTAATTTCTTCTGTGGAATAAGGCTAGTAAGGATTCACCGCATAGATATATGGAACTTCGTCCTCTGCCTCCGGCCTTGCGGTCTGTCCGTGCATACGTTCCCTTCATTTTGTGAGAGTTGGTCTCTCGTGTGTCCATTCCCTGGGATTCCAGGCAGAGTGCTGAAGTTTTAGTGTTTCCATCACTCTCACCTTATTTAAAGCTCCCTCCTGCCCATATTTTATTTTCTTCGGATCAGAAGGACGTGCAGCTGCCTGACAGCAGAATGGGTGTCACGCTGGAAGCTGCTGATGCCATCTTCTAAGCCAGGTCAGCTCCAGAAGCGAGCAGACACCTTCCTGATGCAGCTGCCCTTGCTAAAGGGTAACATTGATGCATTCAGCAGTGAGGTTAAGCTAATGCAAATGTGTTCCAGCTTAAGGAAAAGCCATAACGCGCGTGTTCCCTACCCGGCGGTGGGAAGGGGTAAGCTCCTGTCGAAGGGTGGTACCAGGAGCAGTGAAAGCGAGCGTCTGTCCGTGGCCGCGAGGCGAGACCTGGAAGTGTGCTAGCCAAAAAGCCTTGCGCTGCTGAGTGTACGCCTTGATTCAGAATTGAAGTAGCTTTATGTTGCCTTAGTGCAAACTCCCTTTAAGTTTTCAAGATTTATAACTTCCCTAAAGTTGTGATAATACACCAGAAGTCATGAAATCATCCAGGACATTTTGGTAAACAAACTTAAACTTAGATAAATCCACCTACTGTAGCAGCTAAAAACACTTCCTGGGTAAGCTGCAAGTGATGGATTTTATCAGTCTTGTTTTCTGTTTTGAGTAAATTTCTAAGCCATTTTCCAGTGTGACTTGGAATAGAAAAAGAGCTGAAGGGGTGTGCTGGAATAACACGCAGAACCCAAGACCCAGACAGCTGTAGAAGTCACCCACAGGGCAGAGTTAAACTCTACTGGTGGATGCTGGCGTTTTTCCAGGTCATTAATATGTGGTGTTTTCTTACTATAGGGTCAAACTGCAGTGACTTTTGCCATACACTTTCATCTCATTTTCTGGTCTCGATCTCCATGTGGACTGGTGAGGTTCATGAGAGCATGCATATGACTTCTCTCAGGAAATAAGCATTTGAACCAGAAGAGAAAGGTCTTAAAATAAATAAATCTTGGGTGCCACAGAGAAAACAGACCGTGGGACAGGAAAGCTGTGTGTGCTGGGACTCAGTAGCACCCTGTCTGGCTTGAAGAGGCATTGATGGACAAAAAGGAGTCCTGTCGGCGCGGGCGTGGACAGATTCAGCTGGAAACAGCCTTTTACTTTTGCTTACGTGGTGGGGAGAGGACGTCTATAAATCTCATTACCCATTCCCGCAGGCGTCCTGCCATCCTTTTCCCCGAGAGCTGGCAACCCAGGGCCGCGACTGCAGGCGTTGGGCCGATCTCCCTCGGAATGGCGACGGTGGCTGTGGCTTCCAGGCGCATGCCCTGTCCCGCCTCGCTGCCCGCTCCTCGAGTTGTGCGGCGCAGGAGGAACCTCCCGGGGAGACGGCGGGGCACGAAACACCGCTGCTGTCGTGAGGTGAGCGGCCCCTGCGCGTTCATGGGCTTCCTCGCTGGCTGTCAGGAGCCTCGGTGCTCTGGTGGTGTAGAGTGGGGCTCAGCAGCGGCGAGGGGAACGCTGCCGGGCGGTCTGCGTTCTGCACAGCGGGTCCTGCGCGCCCTGGCACGGGGACCGGTAGCGTGCTGACCCCAGCTATTCCTGCCTTGTAAACTGAACTCTCGCTGTCTTCATTCGTGGTAAAAAATGACTGCAGATCTACAGCCTAACATTTAAAATGAAAATATCGTGGAATTAATGACAGAATTGTGGTTATTTAACGAACAGGTTTATTCTTTGCGTGGGCAGCGTAGGAGATGGTATTGAAACGTCCTGTGAAGTGCAGCGGGCAGAAGCAAATCAAGGGTTGCAGCGATTTCTCGGTCTGTTGTTTCTTACGCTGGTGACTAAACCTTGCCCAGCTGAAGGTCGTACTGGCAACTCATCAGAGAGCAAGAGCCGCTTAATTGCAAAAGATGGAGAGATTGGGAAGGCTGTCATCTTTATAGAAGATAATTAGACTTGTGCGCCTGTTTTTGTTTTTCTCCTTTAGACAAAAAGTAAAATGACAGAACTTAAGGAAATTACAAAGCATTTGCATCCTGTGTAGGTACCCTCTTTGTAGGCTTGTGAAATACGGGTGATTTCTTGTGATGGGAAAGCAGAGTTTATGGGCACAGTACCCAGCCTGGAGCTGTCTGACATGAATTGGACAGAGAGTAGCTACTACACTGGATTATAGGCTTTATTTCTAATTGCCTTGCAAGCTTTGGGTATTAGTAGAAAAGTGATGCTTGTAACTTTCCTGATATACAAACAGATAGAGCAGAACTGTGACTGGGAAGCCGGAGTAGGCCGTGGGTTTTTGCAGCCCAGGTGAGGAGGGCATCGCGTCCAGAACTCCACCGGGTGTAGCACTGCAGAGCTGGGATCGCGCCTTACAGCTGCTGTCCCCATGGAGAACCGCGACCATGCCGCGTCCCCTCCTGTACCACGCATTTCCCCGCTTGCTGTACTGGTTGCCAGGCATCCTTTTGTCGCTTTTAATCCTTGGCCCTGCCTTTGAGCGGCCGCTGGAGCCATCAAATGCCTTCCTCTGGCGTCTCCTTCCGAGTCCTTGCGGTGCTGGCGTTGCTCTGCGTGGGAGCACCTGGGCTTCTGCGGCGTGGCGGCCATCTGTCGCGTGCTTCGTTGTCTTCCTCCTCCTTTCCCGAGGGAGACACCTGCATGTGGAGTGGGAAGCCAAGTGTGTAACGCTGATAGAGGATTTTTTTCTTTTTAAATACGGCCGTGCTGTTGATTTTAGGAAAGAAAGACTGAAGGAGCGCTTTGCACTTGAAACAGAAGGTGGGGAAGCTTTGTGGAGGTCGGTGGTCACCGAGTCAGTGTCCGCATCTGTAAAACGGGAATAATCTCATTTCAGGGGCTGGATGGGAGTGTGGAGAGGATTAATGACTGTTCAGAAAGTGCTTTGACCTGTAAACTGCTGCATTATTGCAACATTTTTTACTGATCATAATAGGCCATGAAGCATTTAGAAGTAGTCATTAGATATTAAAAGCTTCAGAAAGCAGATTATGCTGTGCTGCCATGGTCCCTTCCTTGTCCCCTCAAGCAGTATGTATCTTGTCAATATTTTAATTGAGGAAATGATATGCACTCAGGAGTAAATCTTCAGCTAGTGTTATTCATCATAGATTGTTTTTTTTTAATTCAGCTGAAGATTTGCCTGGGGCATCTGACGAATTTTGCAAGCTTCAGTTCTGCCTTCAGATCCCAATTGTATATTCGTCTATCTGTGTAGAATCTAATTTCATGCTATTTATACAACTGTTTTGTAATTTACATTGGTGCAAAGACACCTTGTGTATGAAAATGCTACAACATCCTTGTAAGACAGGTGGAAGTTAAAAGCTTTGGATAGGTCTCGTCGTGCTGGCCCACATCCAAACCCACTGTTAAATAATGAAAACAGGAGCACCAGCAGCTGGTTTGGGCATGAACGGTTGTCTACAAATTAAAACATGAAAATATTGCTAAGGCACTTTGATCACTTTCAGATGTTTTGAGAAGAAGGATGGCCAGATCTGTCTGTTTTTTCTGCACAAATTTTCATTTTCTTCAGCTAACCCCAGCTGGTGAGGCGCTTACAGAAGTGTGATTCTCTTTTCTGTCTCCGCAGGGGAGGAGCTGGATCGTGAAGCGGAGTTATGAAGATTTCCGAGTGCTCGATAAACATCTTCACCTATGTATTTATGACCGGCGCTTCTCCCAGCTCTCAGAGCTACCCCGCTCCGATGCCCTGAAGGACAGTCCGGAGGTAAATTATCAGCTCTGGAAACATTTCGAGCACAGTCACCAGCAAGGGGTTAGAAGAGATGTTCTCAAGCACATACAAAGTAATTTTAATGTGGCCTGGGTTAGCTTTGGCAATTGATTAGCAGTGAGAAGACCGGTAGGTGTTTTCTGCCCTAAATTTCAGTCATCTAAAGGGAAATGCCCTGCAAGTTCATATGAATGAATGTGCTGCTCAATGTGGAAAGGTTATGGAGAGTGTCAAGAAAGAAGCTGTCCTCTTGGTGCCTTAGATGAGAATTTTGTTACGTCTTTGGAAACTTTTTCAACGATGTGGATGTTTCCTGACTTCATGTCAGCAACTTAACATTCCTAGGAAATCATGCTGTGCTAGGGCTGCAGCACTGCAAGATTAATACAGTTTGGAATGCTAGGCTTGTATTTATAAACTGAAAATTATTTTTAAGAGTATTTGCATTAGTGCATTATTTAGATAGTCTTTAAAAAGCTTAAGGAGTGGGGGTTTCCTAAATGAATATGAGGTATTTTTCATTTCTTGTCTTACTGTCTTCACCTGGATTACGGTGCGCTGGGCTTCCTTCGGCTTCGTGCTTGTTGATAATTTGGAGATTTATTCCTGTCCAAAATAACCTCCTGGGAAGCAGCAGGTGCATCTTGGCTGCATCATTTCGGAAGATGTGGAGAGGGAGGCAGTGTCATGTGTAGCCACAGAGCTTATTTGAGCTGGTAGAGCAGAACAAAGCTGGCCTCAGTCTGCGGGAAGAGCGCGTGTCGCGGTGACGAGCAGTGCCCATTGCTTCATTTCTCAGGTCACTTATCCCTGGGACCTGGAGTTGTATGTTTGCCCCCTGCCATCAAGCACAAGTACGGAGAAATCTTGACACGCTGTGTTGGAAAGCCAATGTTGCCTGCCCACGAAAAGGGAAAGGAGGAAGTTGAGGCTGTTATAAGTGTTCAAAGCAGATTCTATCCAGGATCTATAAATCAGAATCGGTGTTGTTTCGGTGCCGACTGGGCGAGGATTGATCGCTTTTCAGCAACACGCAGTGGCTGAAGTCAGGAGCCCACTGCAGTCTACAGGGCTTTTGCCATTGGATATAGGAGGTTGCAGTCCCATTGCTCATCAGAGACTCAATTAGTTGCTTTGGTGTCATGCAGGTTATTTCTGAAGAGAATTTAAAACTTCTAGTCTCTGAAGTCAGCAGAAGTAGTAATATTCAGGACAGTGAATTCCTGAGTTTATTTTTCTAAATTATATTTAGGCATTCTCTCTCTTACATCTTTATTTGTACAACTGCTTTAATGCGTACCGTATAGCATGAGCCTGAAAACCTGCGTTGTGTCTGTAAGCACAGAAGATGTAAGGATGTTGAACAGCTCTGCTGCTCTGTGAAGTGTAATTCTGCAGCTGTGTGGTGTCTCGTACCGGACTTTTTGTTTTGCATTGGCCACATTTGAGCAGGTGTTGGAGGAGAACAACGGTTTAAACAGTCCTACAAACTCTAGGCTGCAGTAGTGCTTTACAACACTGTCAGTGTCAAGCTTTGGAAAGACCCCACAAGCTTCTCTTTAGCAAAAGCAAGTTGGCTGTTGTAGAAGGGACATTGCTATGTGTGTTTTAAAACCCTCCTCTGCTATTTGAAATGCTGCTCTTTTGCCAAGGGGGCAGTCGGAGTTGCCACCTTCTGAAGGGTTTGCAAGGGAGTGGTGGCAGCCGGTGTTTGGTTTCACTAAATGGTTCTTGGATGTGTTTGATGGCCAGAATACAAATGATTTGTTGGTCTGTGAAACTGATGGTGAGAGGAAGGCTTTAGATTTAAGGTATCTTGAAAAGGGAAATGACAACAATGTACATGTTGTATAAAAGTAACATTATTAGTTTCACAGGGAGCTGCAGCTTTGCACATTTTTTGTGTAATCATTGTAGGACTGTGTGTAGTTTGCTGTCCTTCAGATGACAGACTTCCTTGCAAAAGGGAATGTATTTCTATAACGCTTGCCTGTGCCAATGGGTAATTTATCATCTCTCCAGGCCTGAAGAAGCCTCTCCAAACCTATGGTGTGTTAGTAGAACAACTGTATGGCTGTTTCTTTCTGTTCCAGCTTGTCACCCAGATGCTGATGGCTTACCTGTCACGTCTCTCAGCCATCGCAGGCAACAAGATAAACTGTGGGCCTGCTCTCACATGGATGGAGGTATGGTATGAAGCTCGGGTTGTTCTTTCCTTCCTGACCTTAGCAGCAGAGCAAGCCACAAATGCACGCTCCTGCCTTTCCAGAAAGAGGTGTAATCCTCCCAGACCTGTTGGTGTCCCTGAAATGCTATCCGAAAAGCTGTATGCCCCTGTTCCCAGCACGTAGGTGGCCACAGAAGGTATAGAACAGAGTCAGACCCCGTGGTAAGAATATAGGAGATTTTTTCCTCCCTTGCTTGGATATTGTCCCCCAACGACATATTATTCTGCAGATATTCACAAATAAAAGCAGGTGGCAGGCGAGTGAAGCAGTGATTGGGTCAATAAAGTCCTGTTCGTGGCTGAAGTCTCCGAGTAATAGGCTGCAGAAGGCACACGCTCCTTTTTGGCAAGGCAAGACTGCAAGCGTGGCAAGTTGCTAAAACTATTGGAGCTGTCTCAGTTATGGTGTTTGTCTGCTCTCTTTTTTATTATTTTTCCATGCGATAGCTGCAGAAACAGTCAATATCTGCTCCTGTTTGCCACCGCTGGTGGTTAAACTGCTCCACAGAGCCTGCGTTGTGCTTGCAGTGGCACTGTTTGTAGGTTGAGAATTGCAGCTGCAGCTTTAGTTTCTCTGTTAATCATCTTTCTGCCATCTTAAACAATAGACTTTATTGGGCAAGGAGTGCAGGAAAGACCGGGGCCAAGTGATGGAGGCCACCTGTCTGTGTCAGCAGTGCTGATTAGTTTGGGTAGAGATCTGTGTGTCTTTCCATTGCCTGAGGATGTTGCTGCACGCCAGGAATAGAAACAGCTATTATTAGACTTGCAGTTCATTTTTAAATGATCATGATAAGGATTGAGTGCGTTTTCCTGCAATTTTCCCCGCTGATATCCTCCTCACCATGAAATCCTGTGGGATGAGGAAGATCTTGGAAACCTCAGCACGAAAGGAGGAAGGAAGCTACAGAGAAAAATGAAACTGTAGAATTTGCAGCAAAACAGTGGACCTGGAGGTTACAGCAGACCTATTGCACGTGCAATACAGAATAACCTTTCTGATTAGCTGAGAATCGTACAAAATTTTACACAAGCACAAAAATCTAGAATTTTGAAAGTAGACTGATGATTGCAGCAGTGAACGGGAGCCATGTTTTCTTCAAAAAGAGATAAAAGGGTGGGACAAAGCTGAAAGCAACTCTAGTTTTCGGTTTGACAGCATTTCCTGCTTACCTCAGTGCCTCTTCTCCAGCATTAATTCCACTTTGCAGAGAATTTTTGTAGTCACTTCTGTATTGCCATTTTCAGTACTGCAGGGAAAACAGTACGATTTGGTGTCAAAGGGAGGTGTAAAGATTCACTGGCGTGTTAGTGTTTGTACACAAAGATGCACAAATACAGCGTTTTTCTCATTAGCGGGATGGGGACGTACGACCTTCTGAAATACTCTGTAGGAATCGTTGTCCCTCTTGCTTTCTGACTGTCTCTCGGTGCCGCTCTCCTCGGGGGGCCCCCAGGCTGTGCTGTCGCTGTGGATCAGCTCCAAGTCTCTGCCACGTGTGAGCACCAAGAAAATGCCTCCGTGCCTGTCCTCAGCTGCCTCACCGTCTCCTGTGCTCTTTATTTCAGATTGATAACAAGGGGAATCACCTGCTAGTCCACGAGGAATCGTCGATTAATGTTCCCGCTATTGCTGCTGCCCATGTTATTAAGAGATATATTGCTCAGGCAGCAGACGAACTGTCCTTTGAGGTAAATAATTAAAAGAGCTTACATTCCTCGTTGTCATATGCAGAAGAGCGTAATATGTGTGTGTCTGTGTGTGTGTGCACATCAGGAATATATTTAGACACTTTCAGAATGTTTTGTGAGGTGAAGCTTAGAAGATTCATTTAAATATTCGATTTGCAATGGGTGAGATACAGGGAGGAGTTCAGTCATCGTTAAAATACAGCTTTACTTGGCATTAGTATCTTCTGATTAAACAGGCACTGCTGAGTCCCCCAGCCTGGTCCCTCAGCAGCCGCAGACCCTGAGGAGTTCGTGCCTTACAGTGGATTAAAAGTACGTTTGTGTCTGTTGAGGGAGACTGGCCACATATCTGTGTCTGTGGACACATGCCAGTTTAATTAGTCATTGGCCACTTTGCACAGCCTGTGTTCTGTTAGCAAGCCGGTGTCTAAAACCGTTTTTAAGATCTTCTGATCCCATGAAAAGCAAAGAACCAGACTGGCAAGAATTTAGTAGTTAAAGGATGTATTACAGGTTATAATCTAAAACTGTTCTGAAAGTCTTAGTTGATGCAGAGTAGGAGCTGCTGTGGGGCAAGGACCCTGGAGGTCTTCAGGTATCTGGCTGTTGTCTGTCCCACCCAGAAAGCGGTGTTTTATGCTCTGATGGTTTGTGTGCAGCGGTACTAGCAACGGGGTGTTCCCAGTGTTACACAAAAAAGTGTGAAGAAAAACAGTTCGTGCCTGAAGGAGCTTTTGTGATCACATTCTTAGCACGCAGCGCAGGAAGTAGAAATAATAGTGAGAGTCCAGTGCTGCCAGGGTTTTGTTCATATTCAAAACCAGGGCAATTATTAGTGTACGCCGAAGAACCGCGCTAATCACAAAGACGTGTGCACGTATCATCTGCCGAGTTCAAATGCACGCAGTACAGGATGCAGACGGTTTGTCAGCGCCTCGGTATTAATAAAAGCACTGAGATGGCACTCCCTGCTCGTAAATCTTACAGCTCGGAGCCAGCAGGCCGTAACTTGGCCTTGCAACTGGCACGCAGTCCAACAAGTGGCTGTGAGGCACAGCGTACGAGCGGGGAAACCAAGGCACGTGTGGCTTTGCGAGTGAGAAACCTTGGCAGAGCAGAAGTGGAATACGATCAGCTGTTTTGCCATGCTGCGTTCCGTGCCCTAACGCAAACGATCTCTTTATGCTTAGGCTGTGGTTAATTTCGAAGAAGCGGTTGCACAAGTAGCTGGCTGGCATTTGCTCCCCGATACCGAGGAGACTACCTGGCTTCTCTGCTCGTTGTGGTGACAGCAGTTTCCTTCATGGAAATTTGCTTTGCTGTTGGTTTGCTGTTCCCCTGAGGAAATCACTGCACTTCCCTGTCTCAGTTATCCCTGTCTGAAAAATAGGGGTGTGTTACCTTCTTTGTAAAGCGCTTTGAGATCCATCGGCGTAAAACATCGGGTAAAAGCTGGGCGTTACCGTGAACAATTTTTGCTATATGTAGTTGCAGTTGTTATATAGGATTCTCCCCCTTCTGCCCTGGCCTATCTCATTTTCTGTTGTAGAGGCCACACAGATCTTGGTTCCCATCAAGCCAAATTTAGTATTGATTATACTGATTTGAGCTCTTGCAGTGTTACGGTTTTTACGGGAGCGAGCAAAGCTTCAGAAGACCTGTTTGGCCTCCTTGGTCATTTTCCTTCCTGACGCCGTGACACCGCCCCACCCCTCCTCTGTTCATTTCCTAAAGAAGAAAAGCCTGTCTCGGTCTGTGAACCACGAAGGGAGTAGCTTTCTGCTGTGGAAGGAAGTGTCGATGTGTTGATGCTTACATACACTTGTATAGGGCATGTAATAAAAGGAGTTCAGCTACTCAGGAATATTTTCCAAAGAGTTTCACGCTGTCACTGCTTATGTCTGCAGTTTAATCGGAGCTCTTCTGAGCCTGCTGCTCCTCAGAATGGTTTCCTCATGAGCAGCTGTGTCCCGTACGCTGTATAACGCAGTCACTCTTGAACCTCACGGTTTAATTTGTTCAGAGGCAGATGTCTCCACACTGGCGCTGGCGCGGTTGCTGACAAGTTGTGCGGTTCCTTGCAGCGCTGAAGCATGAGGTTATTTGAACTGTGCTTTCCTCCTAGCCGCTCTGCGAGCCGTGACTGACGTTGCCCATCTTTTGCAGGTGGGAGACATCGTGTCCGTTATCGATATGCCGCCGAAGGAGCTGACCACGTGGTGGAGAGGCAAACATGGCTTTCAGGTAGGCCCAAGCATCAGGCATGACAGCACAGCTTAAAGTCAGGAGGCTCAGCAGCGTGTTTGTCGGGCTGCTGTGCCTGCAGAGGATTACTCGTGGATGTAAGAGCGTCCCTGTGTTGGTGTAAGAGGGCTTCCTCCTTCTGCATGGACGTGGGCTAGAGCAGACACGTGGTCTTCGTAGGAAGTTATCTCCCGACCTAGCTGTGCGAGTTGGGGGTAGCCGCGACCCTTTGATCGACAGCTGGCCTGATGTTAGTGGAAGCTTCTGCTGCCCCCCCTCCAAGGCAGCTGACACTGCTACTCAAATCATCCCATTCCTTCCACTCCCTGAAACGAGATCAGGCAGAGCAGAGAGGATTCGGGGGAAGCCGGTCGACGAGACGCTGCCGCTGAGTTGGCCAAGGCACCCAGCTAACCTGTGCTTCCGTGTCTGCATTTGTTACGCAGTGTTAATGTTGCTGGTCTCCCTAAATGTTATAGCAGAGAGATTCACACTGAATTTTCAAAAGATCTGAAACATACCTGGGAATTAGGTAACAAAACTTTCGCGTCCAAATGGCACTTTCCTTCCAAAAGAATGGTCTCCCTAAATGTTATAGCAGAGAGATACACACTGAATTTTCAAAAGATCCTGAACGTACCTGGGAATTAGGTAACAAAACTTTCGTGTCCAAATGGCACTTTCCTTCCAAAAGAGGTGTTGCTCCCTAGCTTGGATTTTCTCATTAGGAAATTTAATTTAAAAAAGGTCTCTGTTTAGAAAACAAAACCCAAAAGCTGCTGAAGGTTGGGCTGACGGACTTTCTGCCTTCTCACGCTGTGGTGTCTTGTGTTTCAGCTGCTTTCAAGTGGGAGGGATTCTCATACTGCAGTTGCTGTCTGTGAGTAGGTGGAATTAGGAGCTCGCTCTGGGGAGGGTCAGAGTTGACCAGGCACTTGCGTGTTTTGGCCTGCAAAGACTTCTCAAAGTACCTCAGCTTTTCCCTGGCAGACCTTGCTGTGCCAGGTCCAGATTGTGGTTCTGCTGGCGTTAATACGAGGGCTGTGTGCAATTGGATCTGCAAACACTACAAATCCCATCTGAATGGAGTGTTAGTTACACGATGACATCTCTGTCCGATTAGCCGGAGCACGTGCGACACAGCTTGTGTTGGCTTGATGTCAGATGTGGGAGTTCAGATAGTATCTCCTTTGTAAAACCGGAGCAGCGCGGACATACGATACCTGCTCTGAAATGAAATTTGTTTCTAGAGTTAACCCGTTGATATTTCTTGAACAAACTTGACTGTTGTTCTTCTAGTTTTGAACCGTGGTGTGTCCCTGTGGGACTTCTGTTCTGACCTTAGAAGCCCTAAAACTGTATTTGCCGTACTGTCGAAACGTAACGAAATGCTTTCGTACTGCCTGGACCGGTCAGGCTGTGCGGCAGCTGACTTCCAAGTGAATCAATAAAACAAAAATTCTGACGAGATGCGAAGAGCATCGCTGGTGATTAAAGGCACAAGGAGCAAGGGAGCTCTTCTGCAGTTTGTCACTGTCTTCTGTCTCTCAGATCAGAGCAGTCCCATCGTGCTTTCCCAGCATAAAGATACGTTGACGAGCAAATTGCTTGCAAAGGGGTTTGTATCCGTGCACCGTCAGTAGCCTGACACAACAGATCTGAACAGCTGCAGAAACAGAGCACCAGGTTTGTGCTTGACAGAAAACTAGGGGTGGAATAATCTCGAGTCTTAAATTATAAGCAAGAGTTTTTCACGGCGTGGATCGGATCACGGCCGCTGAATGACACTACTGGAAATGCAGCAGCTGTAGTATATGTTTCAGTAGCTCCCAGGGCGTGTTTGCACAAATGCAGAAGATGAAGTTGATGTGTTTTCAGAAGTTATTTTACTGCCTGTCAGCTGAGATAGGGTAGCAGACCAGCTACACTGCCTGCTCCTGCTGGCTGCAGAGTCAAGCTGCTTAGCTCGGAGGTGGGTTCCAGCAGCTGCATCTCAGCTGACAGGGAGTCATTTCCTAAGCTGTGCTAACTCGGTTGTTACTGCATAAACACGTCTCTTCACACACCCATGGGTCTGATTTGCAGAGGTGCATTTTTGCTGAGAATTGACAGATTTTGTCATTTCTTTGAAATCTATTTATCTGAGCTTTGCATTTCCATGAAACACCATCAGCTACCAAGAGATGCAAATTCTAGTGTTGTACAAAGAGGGTGAGGGTTTTTTAACCTGTGTTTGAAGTTTAAGGCCCATAAGCTGTGAGTTTCCAGCTGTAACGGAGCTTTTTGACTCTACTAACTGCTGCTGTGAGAAGAGAATGCAGAGAAAGGAAATGTCTGTCTGGTGTTGATACACCAGACCTAGAGGAGCGTCACAGCTCCGTACAGAAGTGTCCTTGATGAATACTTCAGTGTACAGGTACAAAATGTTGTTACAATAATGTATATAAGAACAGTGGAAGCTGTGCAGCCTTCAAAGCATTAATTATAGGCGGGCAATTCTGTTCCTGTTCAGGAACAATAGCCCTTGTAAAAGTGATAGCAATCTGTTGATCCAGTCATTTTAATTAACAAAATAAATCAGCAAAGACTGCCTTGCCAGATCGTTGTGGTTCTGAGGAGGGGGTCCAAAGGCCAGGTGTTTGGACAGTTTGTTCCTGTTACTTCTCAGGTTTTTGCTTTGTGCTAGGAAAGGAGGAAGATTTTATCAAATGGACCCCAGCTTACATTGTAAATCATGTCTTGATAGGAGGAGAGCAAGGTTTCGCCGACTGTGGGAAAAAAAATTACTTCTTGACTTAAGGAATTTCCCTGGTTTTGTGCATTTAAACCTGCTGGGACTTGTGTATGTCTGGGCAGGAGTGCGGTCTTTGCCGCATGTCCCCCTCTCTGCTGGAATAAATACAGGGTTTCTCTGGTGTGCAGATGAGCAGGAGGCAGGGCTGCAGACATCGACAGGAGTGCAGCTCTGACAGGTTGCTAGCATGTTCGATTTGATCTTCACCAGCCAGAGCTAGCCTTCAGGAATGAATCACCGTTTTTCTTATCCTTCAGATTTCTGTGGTAGGGTTGCAGATGCCTTTCTCCCAGCGCCTGATCTAAGGACTGCATTGCAAGACACTTTGCAGAACAAAACAACCCGCTAGGCTTGCTATCATTTTCGCTGCTTAAAGTAAAATGATTTTAAAGACATTTTTTCCTCAAGCCTTTTTCTTTTCAAATGTCCTCAGTGAGTCACTGCTTTCATTGTGAGATTGTTACCTAAATTACAGCCACCTCCACACGAACAGCCTTCCAGCCCGCTTTGTTCTCCTCTTCTTTTTCTCCCTGCTTTGTCTTTTCAATCAGTAGCTCGGTTTCAGGCAGCTGAATCATTAGGGACAGGCCCTTTTTTGATGCACAACTGCCTTTTGATGTTCTGAATAATTCTGCCTTTCGGGTATCACTTTATTAGTCGCACTGCTGCACAACAGCGAGCTGCTAGAGGTGACACAGAGCAATGTGCGGGAGTGTGCGTAACCAGGGGGGGGCTGGACTTTTTCTTCAATCAGCCTGTGCTTGGGTGAGCCTGAAGTGGTGGTGAAACTGCAGGCCCTTGCTTTCCAACCATGTTCTGTGCTGAACCAGAACACAGGATTGAAAACTGAATGGATTTCCCCAAAAGGGACATGTTCTGCCTGGGGTTGGTCTGGGGTAAAGCTGGCTGTTAGTGGAGAGCTTTTTTCTCCTCGTGCATCATTTTCTAGCACAGAACGTGCATGTGATGTGAGTAGAGCGTACTGATTAGTGAAGATGGCCTGGGAAGGCAGGGCGTGTTTTTGTGGCTGGTGTCACTTTGGAAACACCACTTCTTCCCCGAGAAGCCAAAGCTGGATTTCTGGTCCACGTGCGTTGGTTTGGAGCTCGGGGCGAGAGGCAGCCACCTGCCCGGTGAACGATATCCCCTGCAGAAGAACCAGGCCATGTGCAAGAGCCTGGCGGACGTGTCCCCGCTGACGTCTCTTCTCAGCCACATGGCCGCTGCCAGGTAGAACGGTGCCAACTGCAGTAACCGAGCGGGCAAAACGATGTCGGACCCGATCGGCCCCGATCTTCATGATTGAAGACTAAAAGAGAAAAATTTTTGAATTAAATTTAACTCGTACTCAAAACCAAAACCCAAAGTGTCTCAAACAATGTTTCATTTGCCATTTATGTTCACAGAATCACAGAATGGTAGGGGTTGGAAGGGGCCTCTGTGGGTCACCCCGTCCAACCCCCTGCCCAAGCACGGTCACCCAGAGCAGGCTGCACAGCACCATGTCCAGGCGGGTCTGGAATATCTCCAGAGAAGGAGACTCCATAACCTCCCTGGGCAGCCTGGGCCAGGGCTCCGTCACCCTCAGAGGGAAGAAGTGTTCAGCTGGAGCTTCCTCTGCTTCCGTTTGTGCCCGTTGCCCCTTGTCCTGTCGCTGGGCACCCCTGGAAAAAGTCTGGCCCCGTCCTCCTGACTTTCTCGTTTGTTTGGATTCCCTCCTTGCACACTGGAAATGATTACTGTTACTTTGCCTTTTCCTCTGAAAGCCTCATGTATCTTCCCGTTTTAGCAGACGCTGGCAGAGCAGTGAGAAAAGATGTAGTAGCTGTTGCAGAAACGTTTGCGTACAACAGTAGCCTGTGCTTTCCTCCTTTGGTTAAGGTGTGTAGTGATTTTTTTAACCTTTAGATGACCTTGTACTTATCTAAATATATACTACCCTTGCTATTAATTTTCGTACGTTGCCAAATCCTTTAATCCTGGCTCAAGCTCTAATAGTGCCTTGCTACATCTGTTGAGATTAACTCTTGGACTAAACTCATTTGTTTATACAAAATCATGGAAAACTTTCCATGGGAGGAAAAGCAGCGTCTTTTAAGTGGGTGGGAATGAGGCACAAGTTATAGGTTCTGACCCTGAAGATGATCTCCTGGGGATCTTGCAAGAAAAATTAGAATACATAAGTCAGAAAATGTAAGCCATCAGCACTATTAGCATGAAGTTAACATCAGAGAGCTTGGCATCACCAAGTGAAAAATTCTCTTCCCCTAAAAAATATGTTATGATTATTGGTTTTGAGCATGGCAAAAATGATACATCGAGAACAGGTATAGCATTTTATTTGGGAAAAGTTCCAGGATGTCCAGAAGCAGTGACGTAACCATTTGGGGTCTGCTTTCAGTTCTAAATTCATGTTTAGCATTGTATATTGCATCCAGAAGCAGGAGAAATTTTATGTTAACTGTCCAAGGCAAACGAGCTTTTGATTACAGCGTGGGATTTTGGGTTGGGTTTAGATCCACCGTTTTTCACTGTGATTAATGGAAGGTCGGTGTCCAAGTGCTTGAGATTTCTGTACCCAACTCAAGCATAGCTGTTGCGGGCAATTAAAAAAAGTTCTCGGAGCCTTGAGAATGAAAGAAACTGTATGGCTTCGGTTATGGACTCTCCCAAACGTGTTGTCTGTGTGATGGGGCTGGGGCTTGCGCTGGATGTGTAGGTTTATCCTAACTCGCAAATTGTCTCGTCCATCTCTTGCACAGGAAACATCCAAGAGAGACCCTTAGCTATAGGGAAGTATTTAAAAGCCGTGTAATGTATATTGTTTAAGTACCAGTACTTTTAGTGTATGTACCAACCGACCTGTTTCTCAACATATCCCAGCAAAGCAGCATCGCTGAGCCGTGAGCCGCCCGGTGCAGGGCCCCTGTGTGTGATGCTGGTACTCATGCTGGTGTTCTTGTGCGAGTCGACATCTTTCTATCTATAAACTGCACAAAAATCACTGCTGCATTGTAGAACTCCAGGATATCATCTCCTTGCAAAGCTGTCACACCCAGCCGAGTGAGCGGTTGGGTGAAGCCATACGTTAGCTTGGGTTTTGGGTGGGTTCTTCAGTTCTGCGAGTCACTTGAGCAGAAGTGTCACGCGCAGGCCAGTCTCCATTCCAGGGAGCCACAGATCAGAGAAGAAGCTCTCCTGAGCCAGAGTACTGCTCTTGCAAGGTCTCTTCCCGTGCTGTTGTCGTCTTAACAAAAAGCATATTACGAGTCTTTAGCGTTAAGCGTGATGGATTGCAGTTTGTCCTCTTCCTTGGACAGAACGTTGCCTTGCGGGGTTTTGGGGGTGTGGGAAGGAGAAGTTGTCTGGTATTACTATCAACTATTGCTTCGCTTAGGGAATTTGTAATAGTTTCAAAGTCTGGAGCCTTTACCTGGACACAGCATGCATGACACTGCTTGGAGGTTTCTGGGTGAAAATCAGCTTGGAGTAGGAAAGGGAGATTATTTTTTTCTCTTTGGAGACAAAAGGGAGTTGTGCAAGATGAATCAACGGATTTGCCCGACTCGCAGCGCTGGCTGCCGTGTGGCTCCCGGGGGTTTTATAGGTTTGCCAAACTGAGGGGCATGAGTGGCAGCAGTCCTGGCCCGGTTCTCCTCTTTAGAGGAGCTCGAGGCCCATCCGCTGGCTCTTTGCCGTGCCCAAACCCTGGCTGCCCAAAGTGACTTGATGCTTTCAGCTGTCCCAATCGCCTGCCTGACGCGGGACAGGAAATCCTGCCTCTGGCTGAGACGGGGCGTTGCAGAAGGGCCGTGCTGCTTGGGTTACATGTCGCCCTACAGAAGCTGTGCTGGGTGAGGTGGGATGTGAGAGAAAAATGTCTGGAAATGTAGATTAAGGAGACACGTTGCCAAAGGCTCAGCTCTGCCTTGACTTTCACCTGGGATGAGAGTAAGAGGGAAGACACTGTGAGAGATGGTTGGGATGCTGGGTAGCATAAGACTCCTATGTGGTCACATCTTAGCCTGAATCCTTAAAGAAGGAAAGGGAAATAATTTCACTTCTCCCCAGATGAGCACCTTTGAGTGGAGAACTTTGAGTGGCGTGTGAATTTCTGCAGGCGCATCCTATCGAAACAAAACTGGAAGATCCTCCCCATCCTCTTTAACCCTTCTGCAGGTTTAGAGAGTTTCTCCAGCATTTCTGAGTTAAGAGGGCACGCAGGGAAAAATGCTGTTAAAGGTTAGTCCAGGAACGCTGCAAATTAGCGTTTGAAAGTCATCAGTCACAGGACCTTGCTGTGAATTGGGCGCTCGGAGATGTCCACGTTGGCAGTGATGCTGGCAGCAGCGGAGAAGCTGCCTTCAATGGTTGTCGAATTTTTTTGCTGTAGCACTGCTGTGTGGTAGCCCGGCACAGGGGGGGTCGTTGCCTTTGAAGCATCTTGAAATATTTGCGAAGGAGAGTCTTGCCTCTGGGGTTTGTTTCTGGAATATTCTTTCTGTTGCACAGAGAAGTCTGCAGGGTTAAGCAGCCCGTGCAGTACATTTGTCAGCTGCGCTCTCAAAGCAGCTTTCAGTCGTGGATACCTGGCACTGTTCTCCCGTGTCCTTTGCTGGTAGGGAAACTGAGGCACGGCGGTTGCACTGCCTTGTCCGTGTTCAGAAGCAGATAGCAGAGGCCACACCAGGAGTTCTGACTGCTGCTAGAGATTATTTTGCTCCTTTATGCTCTTTCTTCTAAAAATACTTGTATGTTTTTCTAGTCAAGTTGCTGGGTTCTTTCTTACAAATGTAGAACTCATTTTACGCTATGTATATTTTATTAAACACGTTCTCAGTTCCGAGATTGGATTTAATTCAATTGAATTAAAACCACATTGAGCTTTTGTAGCAAGGCCTCTGAACATGCTCAGTTGGAATGCCTGAGGAGTATCACTTGTTACCCACGCTCATCAGATCCAGCGCATGCAGCAAGGCTGCGACACAGGGGAGAGCTTTGTGCATTCAGAGTGTCTTCTCCTGACTTACCGTAGGAGAATATGCATTTTTCTGTAATGGGACTATACAGACATGCAAATGTATTCACCCCTATTTGATTTCAGTTTTCTGAAGGAATAAAACGTTAAAGGGCTCGTGGATACAGTATTTCGACAGCGAAAAAAGGTGAAGTGTTGGTGAGATTTGAGTACAGATAATTAAGAAGCTAGGAGCTGAAACATTTTGCTGTCTTCATTAAATTTCACGTTACATACATGCAGCCAGGTGCAGGAAACCCAGCTGAAGTCCTTCTGCCTCTCTCCCGAGTTCCATGGGAGGTTTCAGGGTGTACAGCACACTTGTCCTCTCCCCTCTCTGTCGCCAGTTGAAGATCTGTGTCCTGTGGACCACGCTTAGAAACCAGACCTAGAACTGTGTCTTACAGAACTAATGATTTGGGTTGTAGACTTTTTGGCTGCATCATTTTGAAAAATTATTACTCTTATGCTGGTTGGGTAACGTTACGGAGCATCGGGCAAGCAGAGTTCGAGGAAGATGTTTAACGGTTGCTGGTTTAACAGTTCAGATCTTAAAAACACCGCAGTCAATATTCTGCCTCTCTTTCTGTTTTCACTGCAGGTTGGATTTTTTCCTAGTGAGTGCGTTGAGCTAATTAACGACAAAGTTCCTCAGTCCGTGACCAATTCTGTGCCAAAGCCAGGTACGTATACCAAGTGTTAAGATGCAGTGAAAGAAAAGGGAGTTGTATGTTTTGGTGTTCAATGTTTAATATCTCCTTTATGCATATCGTGTTACGCTCTGTGCGTTGATCGTCCTTTACACATACCGTGTTATGCTTTATATGTGTTGATCATCCACATGTTACCTCTCTCTGAGTAGTTCCCACCGTTGAATGTCTTTTCATCCGTGGTGTTTTGTAAGCTAGTATCAATGTCCATCTCCTGCATGACTTGAAAGATTTTAAGCTTGTAAGAATTTAAGATTCCTTTGGCAATCTGTAGCTAGTGATTCCACGCAACATCCCCGTTCTTGGTGTCCAGAGAGTGGTGTTGTACGTTTGGTTTTTGTCACACAGAACATACAGGCCACCCAAAAATGTTTATGCTGACTTAGATGGAGTAGGTTAATGAGGTGCTGTAAGCTTCTTTCTGTTTGAGGATTGGCAGAGAAGGTCAGAGACAGCAGAACTTGGAATCCTAATTTGTTCTGCTCTGGGTGTATGACTCCACCTGCTTCCTACTGCCTGCTGGACAGTTTGTATTGTATGTAATGCAGGCAAATTAATACCAAGCTCTGCTGGGGAAGGGAAAAATAAATAGAAAATGAGATCTCGGAGCTGATTCCACTGTCATCCCAGTATACACTGGAAGTGATTGCAGTTAGATGTGCTGGCATAACTGAGATCTCTGCAGAATTTACTGGTGGTGAAGCTTTTGTTTTATTCTTCCAATTTTTAAAAAAATACCTATATATTCATATATATGAAGATACAGCTGTGTATCTTCTGTATCAAGAGAAAGCAGTTTGAAATTGCTGACCTTTCTTACAACGTTACACAGCTGGCAAGTTGAAGGAAAGCTGGTTAACTGGTGTTCTTTTCATCTATTTTCTTTATTTTAATGATGTTCCTTATCTTGCAAGATTGCTGACTCGATATTTTGAGACAAATAGATGTGATTCAGAAGTTTGGCATTTACTAAGGGAAAAGCATTTTATCAGATCTGGTGTTACAGCTTGGAACTGTTGGTTCAGTGGTAGAAAGTCAGGAAGACCCTGAGCTCTCAGTGCGCTGCGTTGATCTGCATGCTCCAGAGAGCTGACGGTTTGGGGAAATGGTTTCTCAGCCCCTGGCATCGCCCGCCTTCCTTCTTCCTGAGAGCACGCAGCTGGATTTGCGGGAATCAGGGTCACAGATCAGCAGCAATTCAACGCGCTGCAGCCGGCGGCCAGTCCAGAAATCCAGGATCTGCCTTTTGTTGTTGGAAGTTGATCTCCAAATACCGTGATCAGTCACCTCTCTGTACTCTCATCAGCTAAAGAAAGCATGCAGACAAGGGCGACTTTAGATCTAAATGCGGGCCAAGCTGGTAGATACGATCATGAGTGAGTGTTTATTATTAAATATGGCTCAGGCAATGAAATGTCATGAGCTGCTAGCGAGTAGTTTCTCGCTATGCTTTAATGAGAGGTAACGAAGCAGCATAGATTAATAGATTCTGTTGGGCTTTAACAACACGCCTGGGGGTGGATTTCCTCTTTCGGTCCTGGGAAATGTTTGTTATGAAGTTGATACCAAAAGCCCAAGTCGGATTAAAATAATAAGTTGAAAGAGATTGCCAAGTCATGAGGCTGTCCCTGCTGACCTTCCCTGGTTGTTGTTCTACGCGTGCAATTAAAAGGCAGAAGACGGCTCTAGAAGAACGCTAACGAGCTTTCAGGTGTAAGGATTGCTAGAACCAACGTTGCAGCTGTGCCGTAATCCTGCCCTCCCTTTCCACGCAGAATTTGTGATACCGTTTCTTTGTGGCGTGATGCTTTCTGGTTTTTCCACCTTGGGAAGTAACAGTACTTGTGTGGCATCTGGAAGGCTCTTCCCGGTTGCTAGAGAAGTTGTGACTTGGAGGGAGTGAGGAAGAGGCGGGGAGGAGGTTCCCGTAGCGAAGGCATGTTGCATGGGATGTTGGAGAACCTGAGGAACCCGTCTGCCAGGAGGAAAAAACGATGTGTGAAAGGCATGCAGAAGGGGTGAGAAGATGAAGGGGGGGAGGAAGGCGTTTCAGTTTCTGGGCTGGGTTAACACGCAGCTGCACGAGAGGGGTGGCTGGAGCACCCCGGGTGCTGTGAAGGGTGAAGTTAGAGCTTTCCGAGCGGCTCCTCCAGAGCCTCGCTAGGAAGTGTGTTGCTGGGATAATGCAGAAGAGCTTGCTTTTTCCTCACCCATATTCCATGGATTTAGGGTATTCTGAACTGTGGCTTAAACATTCAGCGTATTTCTGATACACTTAAATACCCACATCAGGTCATTTTCTCCCTTTACCTAGGTTTGAAACATCAGATTGGCTTTTTCCAAGGAATAGAGACTTCTCTAAAAGGAACCACTTGCAGCTTTTGTCCTTACTTGACGTTAGCAGGGTATTTCATCTAGAATGAATGTGAAGTTTTAGATTTGGGCTTGATAAGGCGTACTTATCAACGCGGAAACTTTTATTTTCTTTAATCAAAATACGATGTGTCGAGTATCTAGGACATTTTGTATCTGCAGCATAAAGCTCTTTGCCATGAAGGAATTTGCAAACATAGAACTCCTTGTGTTGTTGGATTGTCCGTTGATTTGGCTGGGTTGAGCAACCTAATGAAAAGCAGATGGAAGGCAAAGAACTTCCTGCCCTGTGTTTTTATTATTATTTACAATTAGAGCTTTTGATTGCAGAAGTGATGGGGACAACATTTTGATAAAACTGTAAAATATTGCAGTAGTCTGTAATGCAGTCCAAATAACGACTGAAGTTCAGATGAAAATGAAACACAGGGAATGAGAGAGGAGGGTTGGGTTTAAGTGCAAACTCTGCATTTAGAAACAGTATTTTCGTTGACTGGCAGTACACGCTCACACCGGTGATAATGCCGCCAGTGCCTGAAATAAATGAAAGAAAATGGACCGTGCAGGAAAACTGTCCATTTTACTCAATTCTGAAAATCCAAAGTAATAAGAAAGAATATTGCTTTTGCCTGGAGTTGCCTCTGAAATATGTGTGACAGTGAAGTTGGGATTCTCGAAGCTGTCATAGCCCAAAATACTGCCGGGGTAGGCATGCTTACAGGGAGAGAGATATCTATGTGTGTGCATGCATGTGCATGCAGGCTATCACCTGGAAATTACAGCCGGTTTCATTGCTGTGTAACGAGCTTGTGTAGCGTTTTCCCTTTGCAGACTCTCTACAGGAGAAGAAGGGGTGCTCAGGAGGGCTTGGAAGTTACCTGCGGAGTGGTATTTGCCCTTCAGTACTGTCCTAAGCCCGTGCCCCTTTTTTTTCATGTTCAGTGCTGTAAGAAAATGCTTGTTTTTCAGGTGGGATGCAAACTGACACCCTGACTGTTTCTATTTGTGTAAAAAACACTGTAAAGATGCAGGGAGGTAGTGCGGGCTCACCAAATCCCTTTTTTCTTGAGCAGTTGCCTTTTTTCTAAATTCTTCCTGTACTCAGATACAATACTCAAATGATAACTTCTTAGCCTAAATTATTATATTGAATTGATATCAAATATTTCATAGCTAATAGCATTTGCTGACAATTTAGCTGAATTTCAGTACTACAATAGGTGGAATCAGCTTGTATTTGTAAGGATTTTTGAAGAGCTACAGGCGGAAAGGTTGCATTTGAATTTCAGATACTCGGTGAGAAGTGGATCTTTTAAACATTCATTGTGCTACTTAGAAGAAATAAAGTGAATAGCTGTTCTGTTTTTTCCTTCTAAGTGAACATTTGGGAATTGCCTGTAGATTGTGGCTGTGTTCACTCTCCTTATTCACTGCTGTCCATCCCTGGTTCGTATTTCTGGGAACTGTGTGTGTGTGTGTTCATCTTGTCCCCGCTTACTGTCCTCGGCGTAGTTAGCAGCAGCGTCTCAGCTATGTTTCAGTCCGTTCTTTCTCATAATTCTGCATATTTGTAGTTTAACAACGTTTAAAATCACATCTCATGCTTTGCCTCACGCGTGCGATTTCTTTCACCTGTTTGCTAACAAGCAGCGTCTGGTGTGTCGCGAGCCCGCGCTGCGGCGTGCCTCGGCGCGAGGGGTGGTGTGGAGGCTTCTGAACGTGGTCGCTGCTGGGGAGCATCTGGTTTCAGGGGGGAAACGGAATAAAGATGCAGCGGGACAGGTAGAGCTCAGGTGAAGAAATGGGGGATAAGAAGATAATGTTTCACTGTCTTTTTTCCGACGCAGTGAGCATTTTTAAAACTTTGGGGGTCATTTTCACCAGTTCCTCACCCTTACTTGGGACAAAAGAATGAATTAACAAAAGAATGAATTAACACCAGCAACTCTGCTCAAATTTACGGAGGATTTTTCAAATTCTTGTCTCATCCGTTCATTTAATTTAGATTTAACAGGTAAATGTAAAGGTAAACTCTTATGATACGCAGCTAAGGAGGCCTTAAAGGGTACTTGTTAGTATTGCAAGCAGTTGTAAATGAATATTTTTTTTAAAAACATAAATTACAGATTAATCTGGGCCAACAAGCCAAATACAAATAATCCACTGAACTTCAGGAGGATTGAAATTTAGGTCTGGATCAGGCAAAAGACTCTGTTCTGACCTCTTGAAGACTCTGGCACCGTACTGAATGAATTAATTTTAACTGCAAAAAATGCAAACGGAGTTATATTAATTTTGTTAGAGCTATTGCAGTCATGACAGGCTCTTCAGAGGTAACGCCTGGTTTGAAACAGGCTGGTTCCTAATCCCTGGACAAAAAGATTGTGGGTTGGTGGGTTTTTTTTTAATAAAAATGAAAATCAGGGAGAACAAGGTGGAGGCAGAACTGCTATTTTGCAGGTGGGTTGAACAGCCGTTTGACACTGATAAGTGCATGTCTTAATTAGTGCTTTTATCAAGAAGATATGGAAAGATAAAACATGTATAATTAGTACCACATGTATAATTAGTACCAGTCTCGTTAATCTTTTGTAAACAAA